CTGAGGTTCCGATCCTTTCAGAACCAGAGACGACTCATGGCCTGACAGGGTTGTCACATAGTGCACCATCAGGATCAACACATATCACATGTGGACTATGAGGGCCAACACACATTCCTCCAAACGAGTCGTGTTATGATGAATCTCGTAGGCTATCCAGCAAAATAGATGTTCGCATTTTTCCGTTGCTATCGTTGCCATCTGTTGCTATCGTCACTTCAGCACGCTATCGCACCTGGTTGTTGAAGCACTTCTCCACGTTGAGGACAACCGCGTCGCTCACCACCTCGCCCGAGTCCAGCACGAAGAACACCAGCAGCTTGAACTGCGGGCTCATGTTCGGCGTCACTGACAGCGTCAGGTTCGAGATGGACACCTGGCCCGATTGCAGGATCTGGCCGCGCGTCATCACCTGCCGAACGCGGGGTCATGGACATGACGTCACGTGACACCCATCTCGGCGCGTTTTAAGCGATTCACAAACACGAGAGAGTGTGTGGGAGAGAGAGAGAGGGGGAGAAAGAGAGAGAAAGAGAGAGAGGGAGAGAGGGTGAGACGGAGAGGAAGAGACAGACAGAGACAGACAGAGAGAGAGAGAGAGAGAGAGAGAGAGAGAGAGAGAGAGAGAGAGAGAGAGAGAGAGAGAAGAGAGAGAGAGAGAGAGAGAGAGAGAGAGAGAGAGAGAGAGAGAGAGAGAGAGAGAGAGAGAGAGAGGAATGGCATGGAGGCTAACCTCCTGTCTCAGCGAGTGCTGTCCCGCAAAGAAATTCTTCAACGCAAGAACTGCTAACCATCTGAAAATGTCTTTGCTCAGTTCCGCCATCACAACTGCCAATGATGTTAGTGTCGTACCTGATACACCATTGGCGGCACGTCTCTCCAATGACGTCAGCAGCTGGACGGTGACGTCACCGCGGCATGGCAGTTCGTCGGGCAGCAGGTGGGCGTCGATGGTTAGGTAGGAGTTGGAGGGGGAGACGAAAGCCACGAGTTCGCGGCTGAGAGCTCTGCCGCCGTGGCGCCCGGTCAGCTGCTGCGGATACACCACACGCGACCTGTGAGGCTTGTTTTTTCTCTGCCATGTTCTTGTGTCCGTCACGCCTTCACCGTCGAAGCAAATCTGTTATCGTGCAGTTAATCGGTGCTTCGCCCAAATAGAATGACTATGAAGTCACCAAAACGAGCTCCGATTCAACATCATAGCGACACCAGTAGTCCACCAGTTGCGCTGTAAGTCGTTGCGAGGTATTCTTACGTTCACCAGGCAGTGCGAATAAGTCATGACCACTGTCCCAGATGTACTGATATTAGTTCCAACGTACGCGTGCTTGTTCTGGACACGGTCACCGCACTTGGCCACTCGCAACGTCATCAACACTGACCACTGACGTACTACCCCGCCACTGTCTCTGATGTCATCTAGCTGACTCTTACGTCCATGTTGACTCTGACTGACTCTGACCTATGATGTCATTAATCTGACGAAGGTTGTCATTGCAATGGCTCTGCGGTGCGCCGCAATGGTTTTGACATCACTGCATTAACTCTGTTGTCACCTACCCTTGGTTCCGACGTAAACACAACTTGTTGCCCCTCGCCACGCTGACTACGGGTCCAAACCAAACCCTCAGGTCATTCACTGATCCCATTCAGACTGTCTCCTGGTGCTCGGTCATCCCCGAAGTCACCGAAATGACCATGACTTCGCAGAAGTGGCCCTGTTGTTGAAGTCCCTCTCGTTGTACAATCATCCCTGTCTCTGACATCACTACTCTAACGGTGCCGCTAGACTTATATCGCCAACAGCCATAACACGGCCATCGACTTCAGTAATGCCACACTGATTCTCACATAAAGGTCATGACATTAAAAAACTGGTTCCCGACTTTAGGTAGACTGACCATGACATCACTCGGCGGACCCTGACACCAACGCAAAAGTGTCCCCAGAGCAACGCTAACGTCGCGACCCCAAGTGCACTCACTGACTCCGATGCATGATGCTGGCCCTGACGTCACACCCATAAACCTGTGGTCACCACACTGACTATGACGTCACACCTTACTAACCCTGACGTCAACACTGTCCACGAGCGGCGCTTGCTGGCGGGATGAAGTAAGACGACGCTGCCCTGGCTGTCAGTGATGAAGTCGCGGCACTGGATGGCCATCGAGAGCCGCTGCGGAGGCTCCGTCTCCCAGATCAGCGGCGTGTAGCCGAACTTGGTTCGCACGCGCTCCGAGTGCTGTCCGGCAGGGCGGGTGAGACGGGTTAGGGTCAGTCAAGTCGGCCAGGTAAGGTCAGAGCAAGTCCAGCCTTGTCGAGTCAGGTGCGGGTTGGATGGGACACGTCAGTGTCACGACACACGACAGCTAGAGTTTAGCAGCGTGGGGCATCGGGGGTCAAACAAAACAGTGTAGGAGGTGCAAGATAGGCAAACATAAAGATGTGTTAAGGTCAAGGTCAAGGTGTGGCAGACCAGGTCGACATTAGCCACGTTCGGCCGGTCCTGAATAGGGGGGGACCGAAAACGTGAAGAGAGGAAAAGCGGTGAAATGTTGCTTGAGTCGGGTCGAGGCTAAGTAGAGCAAAGGTTTTAGGGCAGGAAGGTTTGCAATAGGGCAAGACAAAGCAGAGAAGGTGTCGTGCAGGGCACGGCGGGTTATGGCGGGCGTGGCTGGGCAGGGCAAGACAAGAGAGAACTGGTGACCGTAAGTGAGGAAGATGTAAAGCGATGTCAGGGTCATGAAGATCATTTTACTAGGTCAGATGTGATCGTCCCATAGAGGCCTGGTCAGGTCACAGCAGCTCAGAACAGGACGGTGTGCAGATCACAGCAGCTCAGCACGTGACGGTGTGGGGCATATCTGGATAGTTCAAATGGACCTGATCAGGAGACATTTGAAATGACAGGCTTCCCCAGCCTTATTTATGCTTATTGCGGCCGATAGCGCTGGAACGCAATAAAAAACGCCGCCTGAACAAAGACCACATGTGTCAAGGTGAAAGCCAAAAAAGAGCATCTTCTCGGTCTTTATCCAATCACTGGTGTTTATCCCTAGTCGACATATCCTTTTATAGGCGAGAAAAAAGCAATCGGCAGGAGTCCTCGGCGGGTCCACCCCGTTCTGTCTGGAATGGCATGTCACACTGCGTGAAACACATATCCGATATACGATCTCCTACATATCCGGTCCCCTACATATCCAATGTTCTACATATCCGATCCCCTCAATATCCGATCTTCTGCATATCTGATCTCCTACATATTCGATCTCCTACATCTCTGTTTGGACAAATGGTGGGAAGATTCCATGAAGCGCCTTGGTATCGCCTGCCGGCTCCGTGGTCCCGTCCCAATGTCTCGCGACCCTATGTCATGCTCCCGCTGTCCCGCACCGTCGTCCTCAGTCTCCGTGCCACGGTCCCTATGTCCAGTGCCGTCTTCCCTCGCCTCCGTGTCACGCTCCCGCTGTCCCGCGCCGTCGTCCCTAGCCTCGGTGCTATGGTCCCTATGTCCAGTGCCGTCGTCCCTCGTCTCTGTGCCATAGTCCCGCTGTCCAGTGCCGTCCGTCCCTCGCCTCCGTGTCATAGTCCATGTCAGTGCCGTTGTCCCTCGCCTCCGTGTCATGTCCCGCTGTCCAGTGCCGTTGTCCCTCGCCTCCGTGCCATGGTCCGCTGTCCAGTGCCGTCGTCCCTCGCCTCCGTGTCATAGTCTCATTGTCTGCCGTTGTCCCTAGCCTCCGTGTCATGTCCCGCCCAGTCCGTGCCTCGTCTCCCTGCATGGTCCCGCTGTCCAGTGCCGTTGTCCCTCGCCCGTGTCAGCTCCCGCTGTCCCGCGCCGTCGTCCCTCACCCCTGTCATGCTCCCGCTGTCCAGTGCGTTGTCCCTCGCCTCCGTGCCATGGTCCCGTGTCCAGTGCCGTTGTCCCTCGCCTCCGTGTCATGGTCCCGCTGTCCAGTGCCGTTGTTTCTCGCCTCCATGTCATAGTCTCACTGTCCAGTGCCGTTGTCCCTCGCCTCCGTGCCATAGTCCCGCTGTCCAGTGCCGTTGTCTCTCGCCTCCGTGTCATGGTCCGTAGTTCCGTGCTATTACGATACACAAGTGTGCATGACAAAAATTAGTTGGATGACAAAAAGGTGTGCAAAAAGCAACTAGTTCAGCAGTGCATCAGACACATTCTGTCACAGACAATCAAGCTTCGGTCGTAAAGTCAGCCAAGTTGACCCGCAAGCGGCAACACAACAACACCACACTCACACGGCGGCTTTTCTCCTTGTACTTGGCTTCGAAGCAGATCTCCACGATTTTTTCAGCGAAAGGCGAGCCATCCCTCTCTTTGACGTGGACTGAATAGCGCGATCCATTTCGTTTGCACCGTCGCAATGCTCTAAGCATTGCATGCTGTTCGCCAGCAAGTCATATCCAATATGCTTCGCATTGCGTATTTAATACCATCGACCTCGAAATATTTGCTGAAATGTTATGGCACTCCGAGGAAATATTTGTATTTGCCATGCGGTGAGCAGTTCGCGGCATCTGACGCGCATAGAGCAGCTTTCCTTCCATACGCGAAATCAATTTGACCTTGGTAGATGTATTCGAATATTACATCTTCTTTCACAATCCGTTGTAGCGTGCAACGCGCAGTGTCATGAGTCTGTATTTACATGAATAATTACAGTATATGTCGCTGAAATGTAAAGCCCGTGAGGCCTGACCACTCTGAACCCGAGAGCATGATTCCATAAATATTTGGCTGTCTAAGCATAAGCATTGGTAATTACGACGACCACCATCAGAGCTGCACTGACATCCAAGCGATAGCTCAACCACCCCACCCCACCCCCTCCCCCATCAACACAGGTCCATCGAGGATCTGGCAGCATGACTCATGGCCTTCGTCACGCGCTCCGCAAAAACCAAACTGACCCGGCCGTAGTAGGGCAGGCCGGGCTTGATGAACGCTGTGCGTTGTCCGGAACGGAGGCCGAGACGGTTCTGGAGATGTCTCTGTGCACTGGTCTCATCTCTGATTGGCTGAGACCCGTGCCAAACTCCTCCACATGACGTTCATGCTGAGCTGAGGTCGAGCGGGTCACACAAAAGATATTGAACTGACAGTATAAGGTGCACGTGTACCATGTCAGAGGTGGGCATTAATTACCACCAGGAAAGTTGCCGTCCAAAGATGAATTGTGTCCTATCAATGTGCAATCCAACGAAAACTATCACGCTTGCTAGAAAGGAATCGCTATCCTAAGAAGGAAAGACTAACTATACTTAACGATAGTTGGCACAGTCAAACGTCGCTCAGGTGCATGCATTTATATGGCACAGCACGGCTAAGGATAACAACAAAATCCGTAGGCACACAGCAACACAGCACTGAGGGTATTGCGTTTGAGAACTGCTTGACCATTTTTTAAAATATCATTCTAGAACAACAGCCACCCGGACAGACATCTACTGGATGGTCACAGGCATTTATAAACGCGGGGCCAAACAGACCCTACGCTACTCTTACCCTACCAAACTTCTGATCAGTCCCACACTATTTCAGGCCTCCTAAACCCTAGCCCTGTAGAGAAGGGGAGGGTCGATGCGACCCTCTGAGGTTCTCTGAGGATATCTCTCCCGTGGGTCGTGCACCGGATTTCTGTCTGTGTGTGTGTGTGTTAGGGTGTATGTGTGTGTGTGTGTGTGTGTGTGTGGTGGTGTTGTGGTGTGTGTGTGTGTGTGTGTGTGTGTGTGTGTGTGTTGTGTGTGTGTGTGTGTGTGTGTGTGTCACACTCACAATGTGCCCCAAGCAGCACAAATGCAAGATTACTTACGGTCGACACCAAAGCGAGCGAACAGGTTCATCCATAATCAGATCAGAACGATGCACAGCCTGTCTCCGTCCGTCTGTAAAAACAGAAACACTGCAACGTGTCTCGTCTGTTTGTATCGGTCTCTAAGGTATCGAGAAGGTATTGATTATATATATATATATATATATATATATATATATATATATATATATATATATATATCACTACAAAGGGATTGAGCAGCAAAACATCGCGCGGGCGCAGTTCTGGTTTTGTTTTCTGGATCACACCTGACAGAGTCGCACCCCACCGTCTGACGCCGGCGTTGGGTTAATGACACACCCCAAAGCGTCACGGCCGTGATCGCTTAACTCTGACGCCACGTCAAGAGGTCACTGACACTTGTAAGGGGTGTCACGGCCTGAGACTGTCACTGACTCACCGAGAGAGTGTCACTGACTCACCGAGAGAGTGTCGCTGACTCACCGAGAGAGTGTCGCTGACTCACCGAGAGAGTGTCGCCGACTTTGACGCGTTCGTTTGGGTTGGAACCGTCCGTGACAGACATCGTTACGGTGGCTCCAATCAACGGCTGACCAAAGGTGTACCTGCGTTAAGCAAGGTCAGCGTTTGTCATCTCGTAAAGTTTATGCAACGCATTCCTGGTGGATCATATGCGTGGAGAAACGGAGCCAGATGTATTTCCATTCGGTGGAACAGGTCATCAGCTTTAGCTAAATCAGCGGAACATACCGTCACCAAATACATTCGAAACCCATGTGCAAGCATTCTGCAAGCACAAACTTATTTTCCAAAAATGTTCCAGACTCCCCGACTCCAAACTCCCAGACCAGCGAGCTTCAGATTGAGCGGGCGGATTTTCCGGCTTCCAGCACCTAGCACCACTGTGCAGAGCCGCACAGCGGTAGAGAAGTAAACCTGAGTCTCGTCGACACGTAAGGAGAGCGCAGCGGTTGTCTTGCGGCACAGCTTGGCTGCAGTGCAAATGACAAAACTCTTCTCCGGATACCCGGCGTTGTCATCACGGCGAGCGTGGCGATTCCATCACACTCGCAGAGAACCGTGTTGACGTATTTCGGAGGGCTTCGTCCACCGAATTTTACGTTCAGATATTTCTGACCAATGTCGGCCATTATAGGTCACAGCCACGAAGTATGGTTGTGACCTGAGGTCACAGGGGTGCACATAGGGGACTGTTTTTTTGTCCTCATTTGCTTCAACTGTTTTGACGGTAAATCTGACCAGAGGCCTCTCCCGATGCTTAATATGTACGTTGTTCACACCCATTTGCGCGAGGACTATTTGGCGTGACACGTGTAATTTGGCAGGAGACGCGTAATTTGGCGGGTCCCGTGTGGCGGGAGCGAGTGCACCGACCTGACGGCTGTAATCATGTGTGGCGGGAGCGGGCGCACAGGCCTGACGGCTGTAATCATGTGTGGCGGGAGCGAGTGCACAGGCCTGACGGCTGTAATCATGCGTGGCAGGAGCGAGCGCACGGACCTGACGGCTGTAATCATGTGTGGCGGGAGCGGGCGCACCGACCTGACGGCTGTAATCATGTGTGGCGGGAGCGGGCGCAGCGACCTGACGGCTGTAATCATGTGTGGCGGGAGCGGGCGCACAGGCCTGACGGCTGTAATCATGTGTGGCGGGAGCGGCGCACCGACCTAACGGCTGTAATCATGTGTGGCGGGAACGAGCGCACAGACCTGACGGCTGTAATATACCGCACATAGGGGCGCACATAGGGGACTACAGAATACAAAAACAAAGTAGGCGAAAGGGGCCGCAGATGCGTGTTGCACATGGTGTGCTTCGTCAACGGAATCCATTGACATTTATTCTCAACGTTTTATTTTATTGACTCACCAGATGAAAGGCCACTATGATTAGGAATCCTTTCTGGACACACATATGAATCTGAATCTGAATCTTATTCGCTGTGCACTGCTTCGCCAGCCCTAATCAGTTCATGGGGCTCACTCTGAAATGCTGACAAATATGACACTATGACGCTATGACACTTACCGGTGGTAAAGGTTAGTTTCATCGCGTACAGAAGATTATTAGATTGCATGCTCCTTTTTTGGTGGCATGATCAATGCAGGCTGGCGGGCCCATGCTCCGTGCGTTCGTCGCGAATATTGGTCGTCATTACAGGCGAGCTTGGCCGCTACCACGGACTGAACGAGGTATATTATGAAGTTACAGCCTGAGAGGCTCATGCTGCAGCTGGCTTGTTGCAGCTCATGTTGTAACATGTCTCACGTCGTGCCCGCATGCCCTATGTCAAACGACGTTGGGATGAAGGTGACATTGGGCGGCCGTGTTATGGTACTGCATGGAGTGCTAGTTCCCTCGGTCTAAGTTATCCCCTCGACCAGATCCTACTAACACAGCACCTGAGGCAGTTGGAGAACGGCTACGCAACACATTGAACGTGTTTTTCAAGGCAGGGGTAATTTCGTCCCGTTCTCCTGTTTTTCTCAAACAAGATCAGCTAAACAATTTCAGCAATCCGTTTTCAATTGACTTATGAACAAGAACACGACAGTCGAATATTCTCTGCACCTGAACATAAAAACTTTTCACTCCAGGCGAACTACTAAAGGCTGATAAATAATCTAGAGGCTCGGTTACGTCTCTCTAGTATTCCACCTCCATGTTAGAACAATCTGTGGAAGAAAATCAACGGCATGCATTCACCCGAACTATCTTATAGTAAATGTTTTCAAGCAAGCTTTGTTTTCCCCACGTTTGGTCCAGCATCCGAATGTTCGTGACACAATACTGCTTTAGCCTCCTAATCTGCCTCGATTCCTGCTGATGATTGGCCATGAAAACGTGTCAATGTTTTTGATACTAAACCTTTCCCTCTGTGGTTCCCGGCAAGCCTATTTCAACGTGGTGACTCATCAATTTGTAACTACTTGATATAACTACTCTGTAACGACATGTTTCAGCACTAGTGGGAGCAAAGATGGCAGTGAGCGAACGGATTCACTCCGCAATATCAGCTATTCAGGGTCTGCTATTCCGACCAGCACTCGATGGCTTACCAGATTATAACGCCACCACCGGGGAGTTGCTGCATTATGGTACCGCTCATTACCGCGGCTCTTCCTGGCATGCGTCGCTTCTGATACTGCCTCGTATTGGTATAACATCGCCGTGGCCAGGCGTGCAGACTTAGGGGGGGTGGAGCGTGGGGGAGTCAAGGGAGTAGTGGTCCCACTAACCGTCCACCATTGGCCATACGGTCATTGTCTAGAGAGAAATGATAAATTTTTTAGCTCACCTCTAACTTGAGAGGCTTTCTATAGCCCCTGCCCGCGGCTAAGTCGGCGTCCCGCTAGACACCTGTTCACCAGGCTAGCAAGCTATGTGGGTCCACGTCCCAGAAGTAGCGCTCGTTTGTGCATTTTGTCAAAGACGACTCGCTAACGACTGACCGTAAAGACACGATTGCACGCGGCGGCGGTGATGTGGCGTTTTACGATGCCTCGAATTTCATAGCAATAATCTGATGGACGCCGTTGGTCTGGTGGAGTCAAGATCTTTGTGAAGAGCTTACTTAGCATAGGCCCTGATCCATCAGTCATTTATAGGACGCGTTCAGGCAGAGTTGTTCAGACTAGACAATGGAAAATATCTCATTAGGGAATCCACTCCAATGCTAGGCAACAGCACCTCGAAGCTTACATTCACGTGACTCGATGCGATGGAAAAAGTATCGATGTTGAGCTCGTATGACATCAAACCTGTAACGCTTCTTACTGCACTGGACTTAAAAGGCGTTGCAGCAGCGATAGGTGGCGGTGCGTGCAATCAATGTTGCAGCACGACGCTCCCTAGTCATTACGAATTGGGTAAACCTGATAAAACCCGGTAAAACGGAAATTGCATGGAATTGGAAAATCTGTAGACTGTGGCCGGTTGGTGAAATGTCTTCCGCCAATGAGAGCTCGCAAGGAACTGTAATGCTTTCTACGCTTTGGCTAAGCCTTTTAGTCTTGCTGTTGCGAATCACTTCATCAGCTAGCGCACAAGCATCAATCAGGCATGGCTTACTTGGCGCAGACGTCGACGGTGATGGTTTTGTCCCCCTCAGGCACGTAGGTTGGGTTCTTGACCTTGACCTCGAATGTAGGCAGCACATACTCCTCTACAACGAAACCCTTACTTTCGGGACCGTCATTTGTCTTCGCGTGGATAGTCCATCTGCCCTGAAAGTCAATCACAAAGTGTACCCAAATGCCCCCAGCAGTGCTGGAGGGCATTCAGCCAGCTTTATTGTCTTGGGAACGTATGCTTTTCGAGCGATGTGCCAATGCACCTTGATAAGATGGAAGCATGTGGTTTGATGGCTTTGTCAGGGACGGCCCATCGGTCAGAGTGTGACCTCACCGGGGTGAGGGTAAGACTGCACCAGGGCGAACCCTCGCTCTTCAAGTAACCTCACCGGGGCGAGGGGAAGACTGCACCAGGGCGAACCCTCGCTCTCCAAGTGACCTCACCAGAAGCGAATCTTCTTCTAGAGGATGATTTCACCGGAGGCAGGGGACCGGCAGGGCTAGGCTATAACTGCACCCGAGCGACCACTTGACCTTCATGTGACCTCACCATGGGTGGCTCCTCGGTCAGCTGCATCTCCAGCTGGATCAGGCCTCCGCTGGTCTTGATGTCCCTCCACTGGGCGATGCGGATGTTGTCTGGGCTGGTCACCCACACCTCAGGAACCTGAGGAGCAGTGGCCGATTCGGAAGCAAAAAATCCGATGCATAGTTTGCACTGATCCTTACAACGAAACAGATGCGCTCCTTTTCAGTATACGAACAGAGTAAAAACACTTTAGAACCTAACGGAAGCTCCACATGAAGCTCCGGTTTATCAGCACATGGAGCTCCCGCTCACCAGCACATGGAGTTCGCGTTTATTAGCACATAGAGCTGCCGTTTATCAGCACCAGTCACCACTAAGTAAGCTTGATAAGGACTTCGGCAGGTCTTCACCTCCACCTGCCTGCGTCCCGTAATGATAATCACAGCCATCCAATAACGACCAGTGGACATAGCTAACCGGCTGTTTTGAAAAAATAAATTTCACTCATAGCGTTCGGCAGTGAACTAATCCGAGGATGTACAGCTCACGTTTTCGATGATCGGCGTGAGGTCATATCTCAGGGCCATGACACGGATCAGGACTTTATCCCCAGGACGGTATCGGGGTTTGTCTGTCTGGATCAGCGTCACCAGCGTGAAGGCCTTGATGGTCACCTGAAACGCGGTACAGCAGGACGGTGAAGGCGCATATACGATTAGCAGGAAGCCTGCCGGAAGAATGAGAATGCTTCTCACCGAATATTTTTGCGCTGGCCAAAACTCCTTGACCAGAATTACTGCATGGCTAAAACTTGTTTGTAGGTAGATGACTTGATATAACGGGATAATAGACAGTTCCTTCAAAATATTAAAGCAACCCTTGAAAGCGCCCTGCAGCACAATGCTTTTGCTGCCTCAACACGAGGTCCGACCTGGAAGGCATTCCGACACAAATTCACTTCTGCAGAGCAGTCCAGAAATTCAAAGACCATGCGAAGTTCGCATGGCATGCAGCTTCAAACAAACGCACAATCAACAAAGCTGCAGCAGAGTTTCCGTTGTGAATGTCAATAGTGCGTAATTCGGTGAGGGACATTTTGGTAGTTGTCTGATTCATTAATTGCTTAATGGTCCACACATTAGCGCGACACTGTGAACGTTTTGCAGCTGATGGCCTGTACAGTCACAGCTCGATGGTCTGTACAGTCAAAGCTCGATGGCCTGTACAGTCACAGCTGATGGCCTGTACAGTCACAGCTCAATGGCCTGTGCAGTCACAGCTGATGGCCAGTACAGTCACAGCTCGATGGCCAGTACAGTCACAGCTGATGGCCTGTACAGTCACAGCTGATGGCCTGTACAGTCACAGCTGATGGCCTGTACAGTCACAGCTGATGGCCAGTACAGTCACAGCTCGATGGCCAGTACAGTCACAGCTGATGGCCTATACAGTCACAGCTCGATGGCCTGTACAGTCACAGCTCGATGGCCCGTACAGTCACAGCTGATGGCTTGTACAGTCACAGCTGATGGCCGGTACAGTCACAGCTGATGGCCCGTACAGTCACAGCTGATGGCCCGTACAGTCACAGCTGATGGCCTGTACAGTCACAGCTGATGGCCTGTACAGTCACAGCTGATGGCGTGTACAGTCACAGCTCGCTGAGTGTTCTGCTGCGCCAGTGTGCCGACGCCCGACCTCGGCATGACCTTGCCGATGTCAGAGGGGCTGGCCTGTGTGCAGGCCCATCTGTTGCATTGGTCTCATATTGAGCACTTGAGATGCAAGCTGTCGGTGTCACGGTAGCCAGCTCTCGTTCAGTGCCAGCTGTACTGGCGTAGTGTATTGTCTCACAAAGCCGGTGCCTTGTTGTAACCAGGCGTAACCGAGCAACGTTCATTACACTGAAAGCCGTTGTCAGTGCCGGGATAGCTGCACAAATCGTTGTCAGGTCTGTGATACATGGGGGCTGATGCATCTCGGCTGGTGCCAACACGGGACAAGCGCAGGATTTGTACAGATTTCGCCCCTCCGCTCCGTGTCCGTGGTGTCAGCCCGGGCAGTTGGGCATGGCGTCGTGTCCGTCTGCGAGCCTCGGTTCCGCAGATGGTTGATGTGGCTGTCAGTGTGGATGACAGGTGCATGGTTCGGGCCCGTTCCCCTGGAACTATCGAGGAGATAACAGCGACTGGTGAGTGATGGCCGCAGGCTTAACGCTGTACCAACCAGCGACCAGCGACCAGCGACCAGCGCCCGCCGCACCAGCGACCAGCGGCCAGCGGCCAGCGGCCAGCGCCCGCCGCACTAGCAACAAAAGACCAGCGACCAGCAACCGCCCCACCGGCGACCAGCAACTAGCGCCCGCCGCACCAGCGACCAGCGGCCAGCGACCAGCGACCAGCGCCCTTCGCACAAACGACCAGCGGCCAGCGACCAGCGCCCGCCGCACGGGCGCCCGCCGCGGTGGCTTCACGAGCATGGCCGGTGTTTAGATATACCGTTTGGCCGGTGCCATGTCGGAGGGCACGGTCTGACTTCATGCCATGGGAGCAGTCACCTGATTCTCGGGGACCTGATGATCAGGAAAGCCTTTGCTATCCTGCATGCGCGCTGAACAATTAAAACTCAGTCGTGTTTTAAGGAGATATATCGGTGACTCGCAGTTTTTCACTCTGGTTCGTGCTTGTTGACAATCCCTGCCGATCTCCACAAAGCGGATGCATGATTCACATCCGGCTCTATGGATGAGGTTGAGAAGGTGGTGCCTCCCCACATGGTCGAGTTTCCTAAGAACCTCGCTCGGCACGCTGTCCGGTCCCGGGCCCCTACCACTCATGATCTTCTCCAGGGCCAACTGAACTGCAGCTCTGCATGGCTTAAGGGGAACATGTGTTTTACACGCACGCATGGTCGCGCACGTTCTCTGTTGCTGCAACAACACGTTGCCGGTGCACCCAGCACCCGCAGTCTGATCATTTTGTCGGAACCTTGTTCTGCGCCATGCGTGCGATTCTGACATACTCTTGGTATAGCGAACTGGCTTTCTCGCAGTTCGGAAACGTGGCCGCGTGCGCCGCCGGTACCATCCCCCACCCCCTCCAACTGCTCCCTGACTTCGATGCGACAGTGGGTCAAACCCCCAGAGATACTACACTTCGACTAAACCTGGGACTAGTGACAGTTCTTGACATGGGCAGCCTTTCTCAAATGACCTCGCGAAATTGCGTCTCTGGGCTAGATTCTATTTGATCTGCCTTGCAATATTTGAGAAATGTCAAGCCCGATCACACAGCGTTAACGGAAATGTTTTGAGACCATCAGAGTGCAGTTGGAAAGGCTGGCCGTTGTTGCAGCTGCAAATGTGTGCTTCCGTGGCCAGCTGTGCCGAGATGTCGACCTACCAAGGCCCGAGGTCATAGCCGAGTTGACGTGACAACTCCATAAACTCTGAAGCATGGCTCACGAGGTCTACGGTCTTCTCTTGATAGATCAGGTGGGCACACCACTAATATGAGCTCGTAATTAAATTATGGGCATGACTTGCCATTTCCTCGACGCTCATGCGAAATAAGTTTCGACATGCGAAGTGAATATTGCATATTTACATCCTTGCATCTTGTATACGAACCGTCGCCAGATCTGATAATCTGAGCCCGGTGGCACTGGAGACCTTGAGAAGCATGTGACCAAGTCCAGCGGACGCCGTGCGCGGCACGGCCAGGTCAAAACAGTGGTCGCCATCAGCTGTGGACGACGGGAGTGTCAGGGCGATAGCCAATCAAAGGGGCCGATCGGCAACCGAGCCAATCAGATCGTCAGATGTGAGTTGATGACAGGCAATCAGGATAGTGATGGTAAAATAGCAACAGCCAATCAGGGTGACAGTAGAAAGCGACGACCAGCACAAGAATAAGATTTCAGTTGTTCAGAAGGCAAATGGCAACCACTGTCGCAAAAGCCAAGTCCAGGATGTGATATTTCGAGGAGTCCGTAATACAGATTTGTAGCTGGCAAACAGGAGAGCAATTAAAGCGCTCCTAAGCGATTTTGATGACGAAGCACCGTTTTACGCATGTCGCGAATGGGATAGCTCTAAGGTCCTCTTAAGTGATCCCCACCGTGTACCCGAAGTAGGTACGCCTTGAAAGCTCACCGCCCACAGTGTCCGGTATTCTCTCCACCAGCGTCGACCAGGGGAGGCCCCCGGCATCGCCCCAGGCGGTGAGGTGCACGTTTCGCCTCGGCCCGGGCGCGTTGAAGAGCGTGATGCAGATACGGTGACTGGTGCCCGCCCGCAGCACCTTGGACGACGTTAAGACGAAGCCGCTGTGGAAGGGGATGACGTTACCGATGAGACGCACAGGACGCCTGGAAGGTCCTCTACCACAACTGGGCCGGCTGAAGCTTAGGACGAACGGAACATCTGGCAAAAATCGACGCGTCAACACAAACGGCATCTAGCCAGGCAATTTTTCCGATAGATCTAATGAGAGGAATGGAAAATTACATCAGCCAGATCATTGAAATGATTGCAACTCGCGGACTTTGTTGCTTTCGTTCAAGTTTGCTTCCTTTTTACAACCCTGGTCACGGTCATCTCTGCCCATCCGACGCGCCGTCGTCAGCTTGCAGCGTTCGCGCCGCTCCCTGTTTAGTCTCCAGGCGGATTTGTCCGTCAATATTTACACGCTTGAGGCACACTTTATTCAGGTATATCTGCCCACATTTCATTACATAAAAGCTGCCATTTTCGGCACGGCGGGCTGCTCCGGGGTCGTTGCCATCTAGACCAGAGCACAGGCGACCGGACCGCATTGATTACATTTGGAAGAGTAATCAATGCGATCCAAGTACGCAACATGACCGCTGAAGATGTGTTGCTCAGACTGGTGCTGGCATGAGTCTAAACAGCCTGCTCGGGCCCTCCCGAACGCTTCATGATCCCACGCATTCCACAGATGATGAAAGGCAAAATGATACCGTCGAAAATTCACAACAATCTTGGCTTTTCACTATGGCGCATCAAGACCATTGCGCATTGTCATACGTGGTCCGTGGCAGTTTGTGGTACAACGCATCGAAACCAAGACCGCATCAGGCACGCGGTACTCCAAGCTACGATTGGATTTGATGCCTCGGTTGTAACAGACATGACCGAATTAACAGAGGAAGGGGCAGACGCATAGCTACATACAGATATGGAGACAGGCACAGCGATAGATGCAGAGACAGATACAGGGAGAGATACAGATATAGAAACATATACAGAGATGGATATAAATACGGACACCGAGGCAAATACGGATACAGATACAGATACAGATACGGAAGCAGGGACAGGTATAGGAACAGAGACAATGGCTGCGGCAGGCACAGGGGCAGAGGGCGGGCGCAGGGACAGGGACAGGGACAGGGGCAGGTACAGGGTTATGGGCAGGGCAGGGACGCAGGCAAAGACCGGGACATTGTCAGAGCAGTTCACCACGCTCAAACTTCCTGCGCAAGCATCAACAGCCTGCGACCACCAACAATCATCAGCCCTGTGGCGATGCCTTAAGCGCGTTAATCTGAAATTGAGGGGTGCCTATGGGCCTGTCTGCTGTTTGCGCGTCCTGATGAACCGGTACGCTCTGAGCGCGCCTGGTGCTTGGCGTATTGGGCTTTAATCGATGGGAGAGTCGCAGCTCGACTTTCGTTTCTCATCTGAGCCCGAGAAACGCCCATAAATGATTATTCAGAAGTGGTGGTCCGGGCGTATCTGAATTCAAGTTTTCCGAGCGGAGCGTTCTTAGCAAGAATCTCCCAATCACGAGATCCTTAGCAGCCCACTTCACGGCCCAGCGGCCTGTCTGGGGAGGTTGCATCGCGGTGAAGACCTGACCTGGCTGACACCAGTTCAAAGCAGAGCATCGCGATGGACAGCAGGATTTGTTTTTCGAAACTCCATTTTTTTTGTCTCGCTTCGCACGGCCGCCGTGGCAGGAAACAGCCCATCTCAGTGTGATTTGACAGGCAAAGTCCACAAACGAAATCAGCGCAGAATGATCTAGGAGACTTTGGAGGTAGAGTCATGTGTAAGTACGACTTCGGTGCAGTCATAAGCTGGGTAGAGTCACGGGTTGGTTGGGTGATGGGAGCAGTCAGGGGCTGGGTGGAATCATAGGTTGTGCACTGTCCGGTAGAGGGACTGAGTAGAGCGACGGTCTTCTTAGGTAGAGTCCCAAACAGGATGGTAAGTGGCATACGGCGCTGAATCTGGCGTATCCATAGCAATATAGGTACGGCGCATACCGCGAAACAGCGCGTTGCGTAGGCGTTTGAGGTACCGGACGCCTACGGAACCATGATTGAAGTATAAAACGGACAGTGGCGTAGACAGCCGAAGTCGGATCATAGGCGATGGAGCAGGGATCTTACCCGCCTCTCTATGGAACAGAAATCCTGCCCACCTCTTTGTGGAGCAGAGATCCTGCCCGCATCTCTGTTGAACAGAAAGCTGCAGTCGGATCATAGGCGGCGGAACGTGGGCGCTGACAGGCTCTTCAAGGAACTGTATTTTTTGCCGATCGAAGTAAGCATCAGATCATGAAATAAGCTCACTTACAGCTTTTGGGATACGTTCAAGTCGAAAAGACCGCTCTAGATAACACAATTTCCATGGCAACCAAATATGTTCCGGAATGTGTCATAGTTTGATTGCGTCATAGTACCTTGCACAAAAAACGAGGGGGGTTTAGGTCTTAAGAAGGGCATGGTTCTGAACTGCACCGAATGATCTTTAAGACGGCCATTTCAGTTCCAAACCCCATGCAAATGTGGAACACTCAGCAATGGGCGCATGTACATTCAGCAGTACCAGTCTGCGCAACATCGGCTTACTGTTTAGCTGTCCTCAATGCACCAGCCGCCGCCACGCATGTCAACAGCAGCACCGCCCACGCCTTCATCACGATCCTCGGGAAGCCGCCCGACCGACGACTGACCAAGCCGGCCACGTTCCGAAGCCGACCGGAGCGGTGGCCGCAGCGGAGGTGGAGGCGCCACCGTCGCCCGGCCGCGGCCCCGAGACCACGTCTGGGATGCGTGGAACGCGCTCTGGTGGCGACGAGCGAAGCTGTTGCTATGGGGACCCTGCAATCACTGACAACCCTGCAGCTAGGACCGGTGCCCCCCCCCCCCCCCCCCCACGGGACATATCGTCTGCACCGCTTCCGACCGCCAGCTCCCCGGGGCCCTGAGCTTGCAAGTGCGGGCGGGTCCCCTGGGGACCGGTCGGGGTGCGGGAACCTGGAGACAGAATTTCTTTGACGACTGAAGATAAAGGATAGGAATTAGCGCCGAAAGACCCCGGAGCCTCCAAGCTGCTTGTGCTGATGTGAGTTGTAGGGATTTGTGCTAGCTAGACGACCTTTACTTGGCTGAGCTCCTATCTGGAGTTCCGGTGAATTAGAGTGCCCGATTGTTTTTCTTCTTACGAACAAGTTGTCTCCGTTGCGTTCGGAAGCGTCGACCAGCAGCAGATAGGATGACCTTTCCAATGTCCTTTCCACCCAGCAACTAACAGCGAAGGGGGGAGCGTCATGGTCGATTGGTTAGCACCTTCGGCTCCCACGTTACGTCCGAGTTCAGGCCTAAGTTGTGCCACGTCACCGGGCGTTAACATGGCCTCTGCAGTTGCTGGTACTCCATAACAGGGCCCCCATAAAGGTCTGGGCGTTCTCCATCTTATGCGACCTGGCAAGCCCAGTTGTTGATTTCCAGAACGATGATGCCTGGTTTCATGTGGATAAACAAACCGTTTAAAGGTCAACTCGGAGAAACATTATCGCTGGCACTTGTTCATGTCTCTTTGACACCCTCCCACAAACAGCCACACCTCAAATTAAACCAGCACCCCCCATCCAGCGCATCACCACCCTCTCAAAGGTGGTCACATCCTAGACCATCCTACAGCCCACCACATTCTACGCAGCGCATCATCTTCTTCACCAAAACAAAAAATTGAGTCGTTGAACATGCATTACAGTAACGGGATTGCGAGTACGGAATGCTAGCAATCAAGTATGCCTAGCGCAGAGACAGGTGAAAGTTCCTCGACAGCAAAATTTACGTTTTAGGGCTGTTTATCTCTTTGTCGCTGAACTGGAACTGTGGTATGAATTAACGTCGCTGCACCGATGAAATCACTCCGTTACCCGGTGTTGTCTTCTCATCAAACCGTGCAGCAGAGAAATTCGCGTACCAACGTTACGTGAAGCAATGTTAGATTTGTAAACCTCCACGGTAGTAAATAAAATGTCGCTTGGCACAAAAGGGCTTCCATGAAACCGCTGAATCAGTGGCGTCAGTTTAAAGTTCATGTTGCGGGGAAAAAAGCACCTAAGCTTAAGGTGGAAGAATAAAAGTCGCACTACAAAATGCTTTAACGACGTGTTGTGTCATCTCCCATATCAGGAAATAGTTTTGAATTGCTGGGTCAAGTCAATCCATTGTATCCTCCATGATAACGCCATTACGAGGAACGAGCAAATATGATGGTTGTGTGTGATTGCCAGCTTTTTCTTACATTCTTATTATATTCAAGCCAGCTTAACATTAGGGTGAGGGGGTCAGAACTGTCATAAAAGAATACAAATCAACACCTGTGATTTAAACGCAGCTATGTTTTAATTTACTCAATCCGTGCAGAGCCCGGGACACCGGGGATTCGAAAAATGTCTCGAAGCAAGGACACCAGGGGTTCTTCATCTTTGAGTGAAAAATCTTCGTCCGCTGGCAAACATTCTTTCACGGCAAACAATCCATACTAGGCCTGCGGTAGGTGATAGTTTCTTCATAGATCTCGTCCGAGACGGCACATAGATTTCGGCTGAGACTCTACATTGACCTCGTCTGAGACGCTACATCGATATTGTCTGAGAAGTTACATCGATCTCGTTTGAGACGCTCCATCAATCTCTTCTGGAACGTTACATCGATCTTGTCTGAAACGCCAAATTCATCTCGTCTGAAACGCTGCATCGACCTCATCTGAGATGTCACATCGCGAAAACGATGCCCGACTGATATGCCTGACGACAAATCATTCGGTAAGGAAATGACGGCATTGAATACAGTGGCACACGACGGGTTTGAACAGAAGGATAGAGAATCCAAAGGTGCGTGCCAACTGAAAATTTGATGCAAGAAATACCAATTTGTCATCGTTGCCCTTCCTAGCTTTTGCAGGGTCGCAGGACACCAGGAATGCGGCCTTCTGGCTACACCACTGTAAACGCGACCGACTTCCCTTCTCCTCATGTTGGGCTCAGGGCGCGTGATGGACCGCACTGGCGCATGAACACAACAGTTGACTTGCCGCTACCCCGACTTTTACGACCGGGCTGTTCTGCCTGGCAAATAGCTCTTCTGAATTTCCTAATGTAGAATCAGACCGTGTAGCACGAGTACATACGCCAGTGACATTCTGCCGTCGCGCACAATAAGCAACGCAACACGTGAACCGGACGCATACGTCTGTTGGAGCCTTCCCGTACTCCAGCTGGCATTAGCGTTGAGCTGGACAAGGAAATGATTCTGAGGGACGCTCACGCAGCGAAATGGCGGTAACGAGCACCAACGAATCAATGATTCAGCGGGTTGCGAACGGAACAATGTGAACGACACTCGATGTGGTTGCTGCTGCATTTGCCACACTGTCTTCACCACCCTCGCCAAACAGCTGAGTCTTCTGTTTCCGAGCGTGCCCCGGGGCGACCGCCGAGGCGACTCTGCTCCTGACGGGCGTGACGTGCGCTGTGACGTCACCAGCGCGGTCTGACGTGTGCCGGCCGTGGTCAGGTGCGGCGGCTCCGTCCGGAGGAACCAACGGTGGTTCGCTGATTTCGATCCGGCCTGCCACCAGCCATGATGGCTACGAAGCTGTGGCGGTCTGCTGGGGTGATTTCGATCCGGAGTGCCACCAGCTGTGATCGTCTGCTGGGGCGATTTCCACCCCGACTGCCACCAGCCGTGATGGCTGCGAAGCTGCGGTGGTCAGCTGGGGCGATTTCGACCCGGTCTGCCACCAGCGTGATGACTGCGAAGCTGTGGTGGTCTGCTTGGGCGATTTCGACCCGGAGTGTCACCAGCCGTGACGGCTGCGAAGCATCAGACGGCCGTGCAAGCGGCGGGCGCGCTGTATTAACTCCGATATCAGTAGGAGCTTTGTTGAATATATGATGGAGTAAGTGTAGCAGGGATATTAACTCAGAACAGAATGGATCCCACACAACAGAACAGGCCTGGAATGAGCGTGGGTGCGAACGATCGGTGGCAGCCATGCCGACCGGCATCACCAGCAGCGACTTTACAGTTGGACCCACTAAAGGTGTTTGCATTGAGCCATGAGAAGGCAGCTGTACAGGCCGCGGTCAGGTCCGATCACTGGGCGCCTGAGCTGTTTGACAGCTACATATCATGTGCCGACCTGACGCCAGGCCAGTTTGATGTACATTTATGTTGCTCTGTTACCAGCGACGGTGAAAACTCTCTTTTGAAACCTTGGTCCGGTGGGGAAGCATAGTTTAATGAAGCGATGTCAACTTCACGCGTCGTGCTCAATGCTAACGAATAGTGCACTTTATGTTTGGCGTCAGTGTGTTCGGTGTTACAGTGGGCCAAGGCTCCCAGAAAACACCGCTGTGACGGTGAATATTTTCTTTGATTTAGCTTTAACGAACTCTTTACGCCACTGGGTGTCGGATCAGCTGGTGACGTGTGACAGCTGACGACATGTGACTTCACCTGCCACCGAATGGTCCTTGGCGTGCATTTATCCACATGCTCTTTTGACATGCCTGTAAACCTGCCTCATGGTCGAAGCACACTGAAGCGTCCATAAACCGTCAACGAGCGAACAAACTGTACTAAGAGTCAGCTCCCAGCTGCCCGTCGTCTGCCCTTATGTGTCTTCCAGCTGCCCCTCTTTTGATCTGGTGTGACTTCCAGCAGCACATCTTTTGCTCTTATGTGTCGGAAGCCTGGTGTATGCCCGTATTGGGCTTAGGCTGCCTCCAATTTTTCACAGTTTTATAAGGCGTTTTGAGCCATCTGTTGGTATTAAGTGTTTGAGTGGGTGTCAAAACCGGACTATTAACGAATGTTGACCTCGTAGCTTGTCGAGTGCCTGAATAGACGAGCAGTCTTTTTCAATATAGGTTTTAGGATCATAAGCTGAATGCAACTCAATCGTTCTGCATCCTCTGGCTTAGCCGTGGAGCTGAGCAAAGTGTCCCTGTCTTACAACTAAACGAATGGATTTCCTGGTGGCGTCTTTCAGAACAAAAAAACAGAAAGCTGTACCACAAAACACTAGTTTCCATATACACATCGCTTCCACACTGGGCTGCAAATGCGAGGGCATGTTGCAGTCTACAAATTTACATTTAATTGGACAGCAAGTGAGTCATCCTAGCGACTGAAATCTGCCAATTCACCCCACTGCAAAATCCACATCAAAAGTAACTCAGAGTCGTTGTAAAATTCGAGGGCCACACGAGAACTTGTGGCATGCCACTGTTGCAGGACAATCCTGACAGGTAACAAGCACCACACCATGTAATAACATTGGGCGAAGAATACCAAACCAGCGCAATATGTGGCCTAGTGTAGTGGTGACGTTAACATATAGGCGTTAAACAAGCATCCTATTATGGGTTATCCTACTGGGTTTAACTTCCTTGGTCAACAGGCAAGGGAAAACAGAGAGGTGCTGACATGAACATGGTCAGCAGCCGTGAGGGCGGCGGAAAGTTTTGTCACTGTCACATGGCATGTTAATTGTGACACACAATGAACATATGGCTTCTGGGACAAATCTGACACGTTCATTTCACTGCGAGCCACGTTACCGAGTTTATTCCATTCCCTGAGCATGCATTTCACAAGTCATTGTCACGGCATCAACAGACAGTTATGGATGTCTGGGGACTGCTAAATCCTGCCTGGGTACGATATGTTTTAGATCAACAGCGGT